GTCACAGCCTAGCCCTTCCTGCCTGGCTGGGTTATTCATTGTTTTGAGAAAGAGTCTTGTAGCCGGGTGCGGTGGCTCACGCCTGTAATCCCAGCACTTTGTGGGGGCAGAGGTGGGCTGATCATTTTGAGATCAGCCTGGAGTTCGAGACCAGCCTGGCTAACATGGTGAAACCCCATCTCTACTAAAACTACAAAAATTAGCCGGGCAATGGTGGTGGGAGCCTGTAATCTCCGCTACTTGGGAGTCTGAGGCAGGAGGATCGCTTGATCCTGGGAGGTGGAACTTGCAGTGAGCCGAGATCTCACCACTGCATTTCAGCCTGGGTGACAGCGTGAGACCCTGTCTCAAAAAAAAAAAAAAATATATAGAGTCACCCAGTCTGCAGTGAAAGGTGCAATTATAGCTCACTGCAGCCTCCACCTCCTGGACTCTCAAGCAGTCTTCTTGACTCGGCCTCACGAGTTGCTGGAAATACAGGTGCACGCCACCACCACCAACTAATTTTTTATAAGTTTTTGTAGGGGCTTTTAAGAGCCCCTACAGGTGGCTCTCTCCTGTAATCCCAGAACTTTTTGAAACTGAGGCGAGCAGATCACTTGAGATCACGAGTTCAAGACCAGCTTGGCCAACATGATGAAACTATGACTCTACAAAAACCCAAAAATTAGCCAGGCATGGTGGCCCACGCCGTCATCCTAGCTAGTCGGGCAGCTGAGGCAGGAGAATCTCTTGAACTCAGGAGATGGAACTTGTAGTGAACTGAGATTGGGCCACTGAACTCCAGCCTGGGGGACAGAGAGATTCTGTCTCAAAAAAAAAAAAAAAAAAAACCGTTGTAGAGACAGGTCTCACTAAGTCACCCAGGCTGGTCTCGAACTCCTGGGCTCAAGCCTTTCCTGTCTCAGCCTCCCAGAATGCTGGGTGTGATTGCAGGTGTGAGCCACTGTGCCAGGCTTCCCGCCTGGGCTCTTAAGGCTGGGGTCTATCTGGTGAGAGGGGAATGTTAGCGAGTGAATAGTGGCCTTGGGGACAAACGGGCACTTTCCCCTGGTGCCCTCAGTAGGCTGGAAAGGGCCTTGGATGTTCAGTGTGTGACTTACTGGGGTCCCTGGTGGAGGCTGAGCCAAGCCCCCCCGGGGTGAGATGTGTGAGCAGGAAGGAGTTCCCCAGGCAGAAGGAACACCCGGCCAGCTCTAGGCCAACAGGAAGTTGTTCTGCAGCTGCGGCAATTTTGCCCGTCGGATGACACGCGGCAGTGTCTGGAGACGTATTTGATTGTCACAAGTTGGGGGCTAGGGCTGGGCACTGTGGCTCACACCTGTAATCCCAGGACTTTGGGAAGCCAAGGCAGATAGTTCACTTGAGGTCAGGAGTTTGAGACCAGCCTGACCAACGTGGCAAAACACTGTATCTACTAAAAATACAAAAACTGCTGGACCCGGTGGCTCACATCTGTAATCCCGGCACTTTGGGAGGCCAAGATGGACAGATCCCAAGGTCAGGAGATTGATACCAACCTGGCTAACATGGTGAAACGCTGTCTCGACTAAAAATGCAAATACTAGCTGGGCGTGGTGGCAGGCACCTGTAATCTAGTTATTGGAGAGGCTGAGGCAGGAGAATCGCTGGAACCCGGGATGTGGAGGTTGCGGTGAGCCGAGATCGCTCCATTGCAGTCCAGCCTGGGTGACAGAGTGAGACTTCGCCTCAAATGAAAAGAAAATAAATTGGGCCAGGCGCGGTGGCTCACGCCTGTAATCCCAGCACTTTGGGAGGCCGACGCGGGTGGATCACGAGGTCAAGAGATCAAGACCATCCTGGTCAACATGGTGAAACCCCGTCTCTACTAAAAATACAAAAAATTAGCCGGGCACGGTGGCGCGTTCCTGTAATCCCAGCTACTCGGGAGGCTGAGGCAGGAGAATTGCCTGAACCCAGGAGGCGGAGGTTGCGGTGAGCCGAGATCGCGCCATTGCCCTCCAGCCTGGGGAACAAGAGCGAAACTCCGTCTCAAAAAAAGAAAATAAATTTGGGGTCTGGGATGCTTGTGGCGTGGAGTGGGTGGAGACCAGGGACACTGCTCAGCACCCTGTAGTGCACAGCAGCCCCGACTCTCGCCCCCTGCAACAGAGACTGATCTGGCCCCAAGTATCTAGTGCAGAGTTGGAGAAACGGTGCTGCATAGGTTGTCTTGTTACATTAAATTTTATTTTTGTTTGTTCTTTCGGAGACAGACTCTGGCTCTGTCGCCCAGGCTGGACTGCAGTGGTGCGATCTCAGCTCACTGCAACCTCTGCCTCCTGGGTTCAAGTGATTCTTGTGCCTCAGCCTCTCAAGTAGCTGGGATACAGGCAGACCCCACCACACCTGACTAATTTTTGTATTTTTTTGTAGAGACAGGGTTTTGCCACGTTGGCGAGACTGGTCTTGAACTCCTGACCTCAGGTGGTCTGCCCGCCTCTAGCCTTCCAAAGTGCTGAGATTACAGGTGTGAGCCACGCGCCCTTCCTTGTTAAGTAAAATGTGTGGCAGGCCATTGTTTCAGACTAGGGTCTTATTCCCCAGCAGACCAGGTAAAACTGGAATGGGGTCACTAGTGCTAGGTAACAGGTCATCAAATCAGACTTTTTTTTTTATTACTGTTTCTTTTTTTTTTTTTGAGACAGAGTTTCGCTCTCGTTACCCAGGCTGGAGTGCAATGGCGCGATCTCGGCTCACCGCAACCTCCGCCTCCTGGGTTCAAGTGATTCTCCTGCCTCAGCCTCCCGAGTAGCTGGAATTACAGGCAGGCACCACCACGCCCAGCTAATTTTTTGTATTTTTAGTAGAGACGGGGTTTCACCAAATTGACCAGGATGGTCTCGATCTCTTGACCTCGTGATCCACCGGCCTCGGCCTCCCAAAGTGCTGGGATTACAGGCTTGAGCCACCATGCCCAGCCCCTTATTACTGTTTTTTGAGACAGGGTCTCACGGTATCGCCCGGACTGGAATGCATTGGTGCAGTCATGGCTGACCGCGGACTTGAACTCCCGGATGCAAGCGATCCTCTTGCCTCAGCCTCCCGAGTAGCTGGGACTACAGGTGCCTGCCAGCACACGTGGCTAATTACTAAAACTTTTTTGTAGAGACAGAGTCTCACCATGTTGCTTAGGATGCTCTCAAACTCCCGGGCGCAAGCAGCCCCTCATCTCGGCCTCCCACAGTAGTGAGGTTACAGGTGAGAGCTGCCGTACCCGGCATCAAGCTGAAGTTTAAAGAGTGCAGGTTTTCTTTTCTTTTTCTTCCTTTTTTTTCCAAGACAGAGTCTTGCTCTGTAGCCAGGCACCAGGCTGGAGTGCAGTGGCGCGATCTCAGCTCACCGCAATCCCACCTGGGTTCAAGCAGTTCTCTTGCCTCAGCCTCCCAAGTAGCCGGTACTATAGGCACGCGCCACCACGCCCAGCTAATTTTTTTTATTTTAGTAGAAACGGGATTTCACCATGTTGACCAGGATGATCTCGATCTCCTGACCTCGTGATCCACCTGCCTCGGCCTCCCAAAGTGCTGGGATTACAGGTGTGAGCCACCGCGCCCGGCCTCTTTTTTTTTTTTTGAGACGGAGTTTCACTGTGTCGCCCAGGCTGGAGTGCAGTGGTGCGATCTCAGCTCACTGCAACCTCCACCATCCGGGTTCAAGCGGTTCTCCTGCCTGCCACAGCCTCCCAAGTAGCTGGGACTACAGGTGTGCGCCACCACATCCGGCTAATTTTTGTATTTTTAGTAGAGACGGGGTTTCACCATGTTGGTCAGGCTGGTCTCAAACTCCCAACCTCTTGTGATCCACCTGCCTCGGCCTCCCAGAGTGCGGGTGAGCCACTGCACCTGGCCTTATTTTGGCTTTTTTTGAGAGAGAGTCTGGCTCTGTCACCCAGGCTGGAATACAGGGATGTGATCACGACTCCCAACCTCGACCTCTCTTGCTCAAGCAAACCTCCCACCTTAGCCTCACAAATACCTAGGACTATAGGCACTTGGCTAATTTTTCTTTCTTCTTCTTTTTTTTTTTTTTTTTGCAGAAAGCTGAAACTGGAAACCTGGCTAATTTTTTACTTTTTTTTTTTTTTTTTAAACAAATGGGGCCTTGCTGTGCTGCCCAGGCTGGTCTCAAACTCTTGGGCTCAAGCGACCCTCCCGCCTCAGCCTCCCAAAGTGCTGCCATTGCAGGTGTGAGCAAACTCCTGTCCCTGGCCTGGCTTTTATTTCATTTCTTATTTCTCCTTTCTTCAGCCTTTTCTGCCTATAAGGCACAATGCCCCTCCTCTCTGCCTGCTTCACAGACTGAATGCTGTGGGATTCATGAACTGCTAATAGGAACCAGTGATCTCATTAAACTCCATTTGTCGAAACGATATTCCCTGACAGCTTCTTCTGGACAGTTTATATCAGTGGCATTGTACAGTGTACATTTTTCTTTTTTTTTTTTTTGAGACAGTTTCCCATTGTCGCCCAGGCTGGAGTGCAGTGCCACGATCTTGGCTCACTGCAACCTCTGCCTCTGAGGTTCAAGCGACTCTCCTGCTGCCTCCCAGTAGCTGGGATTACCGGTGCGCGCCTCCATGCCTGGCTAATTTTTCTATTTTTAGTAGAGATGGTGAGCGCTCCCTACGTGGCCAAGACGGGTCTTGAACTCCCGACCTCAAGCGATCCCCTGGCCTCGGCCTCCCAAAGTGCTGGGATTACAGGCGTGAGCCATCACGCCCGGCCCTCTGTGCCTTTTGTGTCTGGCTCTTTGAGCACGTTTTGAGGTTCTATGAGTGGGGAGACGGAGGGGCTAGACAGCAACCCAACGCTGTTTCCTCGTGGCGGAACTGGGAGTTTGCAGCCAGGCGGTCTGTCTCTGGAGCAGGAGGCTCTGGGACGCGGGAGCGGGCCGGAGACTTCAACTTCCGGCGTGCCCCGCGCGCGCCCGGCGGCCGGACTACAAGTCCCAGGCTGCCCCGCGGTGGCGGGCGGCGGGCGCGGCGCGGCGCGGCGCCATCTTGCAGCCGGCGGCGCGGATTGAATGAGCCCGCCGAGCCCCGGCCGCCGTCGGGAGCAGCGCAGGCCGCGAGCCGCCGCCACCATGGCCACGCCGCTGACCGGCCGCGCGGGCGGGCCCGCCACGCCGCTGTCGCCCACGCGCTTGTCGCGGCTGCAGGAGAAGGAGGAGCTGCGCGAGCTCAACGACCGCCTGGCGCACTACATCGACCGCGTCCGCGCGCTAGAGCTGGAGAACGATCGGCTCCTGCTGAAGATCTCAGAGAAGGAGGAGGTGACCACGCGCGAGGTGGGCGCCGGGGCTTAGGGGTCGGGCGGGGGTGCAGCCGGCAGGCCCCGCCCACCGCGGGGCGCGAGATTGCTGGGACCGTGGGCGGGGGTGCAGACGGGGACGGGCCCCAGTCTCGGGGGTCTCCGCGGGGTTCTTGGGGGGGGCCCCTGAGTGAGGGGTGCAGCTCGATCAGGTCCCGCCCACCGCGGAGTTGGCGATCGCGGGCACCCTAGGTGCAGACAGGGACGGGTCCAGATCTCGAGAGTCTTCGGGGGGTTTCGAGGGGCCCCTGAGTGAGCGGTTCAGTTCGACCAGGCCCCGCCCACCGCGGGTGCGCGATCGCGGGGACCCTGGGCGGGGGTGCAGACGGGGACGGGCCCCGGCTCGGGAGTCTCGCGGGGGTTTGGGGGCCCCTGAGTGACGGGTGCAGCTGGGCCAGGCCTAGCCCACCGCGGGGCTCGCAGTCGTGGGGAATCCTGAGCAGATGGAGAGGGTCCGGCCTCGGGGATCTCCGCTGGGATTCGGAGAGTCCCTGAGTGAAGGATGCAACTCGGCCAGGCCCCGCCCACCGCGGGGTGCGCGATCGCAGGGGACCCTGGACGATTCCCGGCTCGGGGTCTCCAGGGGTTTGAGAGGTGGCCCCGAATGAGGGGTGCAGGCCTGGCTGGTCCTGCCCACCGCGGGGCGCGCGATCGCGGGGTACTCTGAGCAGGGATGGGTACGGCTGGTCCATGGAGATGGGGCAGGGGGGAAGGAGGGGAACCTGTGTGAGAGGTGCCGGCTGGGGCAGGCTCTGCCCGCCACAGTTTCCAAGATCTTGGGGGGCCCCTTAGGGGGTATGGACGGGAATGGCCCATTCTCTCAGGGGCTCCCAGAGGGTTTCTAGGGCTCTGAGTGAGAAGTGCAGACCAGGAATGGCCCACCTGTGGAGGGGGTCTCTTGAGCGGGTCGCAGAGGGGGGCCTCCAGCTAGCTCTGGGGACCCTTCAGTGGGAAGTGCTTACTGGGGCCATCAGGGGTGCCGACTAGGGTTCCCCACCAAAGAGAGGTCCCGGGGATTTGGGGGCTCCCTGGGTATTGGGTAGCAGCCTCCATGTGCCTCGACCCTCAGAGGATTCCAAGGAGAGTTGGCGGACCCCCCTAACTTGAGGGGGTGTGAGTGGGAGTCTCTGGGGTGAATCTGGGGGAATGTCGGTGGTCTCTGGGCTCCAAGGAGACTGGGGGGCCCAGGCCCTGTGAGAAGCCCCACGATGCAGTGGGAATGGGTGGGGGGTATTTCTGGAGTCTCTGGGGTGAGTCCTGTGGTCTCAGTTCTCCCTGGAACTGTAGGGAGTTGGCTGAGGAATGCAGGAGAGGTTGGTGACTGGGGTTGGAGTCAGGCTCCGCATCTCTCACCAGGGCCAGGGGTGGGCAGGGGGCCGAGGGAGAGGTTCTGGTACCTTGGGGTCCCACGGGAAATTTAGGAGGCCCTTACTTGTGCCCTGGGGTCACTGGCGGCCTGGCAGGTTCTACCCTCGAGGGAATATGAAGGAAGGGGAGACTGCAGGTTCTGACTGGGTCTGGAGGCTTCGCTGCAGACTGAAGAAGGGGCTGGCAAGTCCGGCCCGCCCGGGGAATGTGAGGGCGGGTGTCGTGGGGTCTGGGTGCAATCTGTCCTGGCCACCTGCCTAACCCTGGGGAGGCTCTTTGTCCCTCCCACTGGCCATGCCCAATCCAACGACAGGACTCCAGATGAGGGACAGCCAGGAGGACCCACTTGGTTCCTGCCATGGGTTGGGGTCCTGGGGTCCCCAGGTCCCAGCATCCCACCTTGGGAGAGCCAGGTGCTGAAGTCGGGATATGTGGCTCTCAGCCCCCACCTGCCTGTCTGGAGATTGGAGGACGTGGTGGCTTCTGGGAGAAGAGTTGCTTGTTGAGGGGGTCGGGTCCTTTCTGGGAGCCACTTACCCTCTTCGTGACCTTGGGCTGGTCACGCACCCTCTGTGGGTCTCAGTGCCCCTGCCTTTGCAATGCCTGCCTGTTGCTTGTGTGTGGGGCCACAGCAGCTAAACTGTGGCTTCTGTTGTCACAGTGCCCTGGGGACAGGGAACCGGAAAGAATGTAGCCGGTGCCTTCAGGGAAGTAGAGGGACCCTCAGTGCTTGAGGGGGTCCCCTGCTTTGCTTTTCTTGTTTTTTTTTGAGACGGAGTTTCACTCTTGTTACCCAGGCTGGAGTGCAATGGCGCGATCTCGGCTCACCGCAACCTCCGCCTCCCGGGTTCAGGCAACCAAGTTTTGCCATGTTGGCCAGGCTGGTCTCAAACTCCTGGCCGCAGGTGATCCGCCTGCCTCAGCCTCCCAAAGTGCAGTGATTACAGGCGTGAGCTGCCGAGCCTGGCTGGTTTCCTGATTTTCAGTCAGTGTGGCTTTGGGCAGGCCCCTGTGTCTCTTGGAGCCTCCATCTTGTCATCTGTCCAGTGGGGATACAATTGTCCCACTGAGGACCGCGGCGTGCCAGCCTAGAGCTGGTTTCTTGTCTTTGGGTCTCTGTTGTCCCACCTGCCAATGGGACAGACAGCTGCAGGGAGCTTCGGGGGTGCAGGGCCTGGTGAGTGCTGGGGAGGGACGCCCAGTTGGACGGCCAATACCCTAGAGGGAGCCCAGCCCAGCCACCTCTCGGGGCCCCAGCAGGGACCTTTCCAGCCCAGTTCACTCAGACTGGGTGAAATGCAGGCCTGACTCCGATGAAGGCAGCCACTCAGTAGGTGACACACTGCCCCTCCCTCCCCCCCTCTCCCCCCCTCCCCCCCCCCCGTGAGCCATGTCTGCAGGGCACATGGCAGGGGACAGCTGGGATCTCCACTTGGGACTAGTGTTCCAGGAACCCGGCTAGTGGGGAACTGAGTGGGGAACCTCCTGGGGGAGGGGCTGCTGGTGGGGGGCGCATCATGTGGACCCTCACGGAGGGGGTGAGCTGGAATAGCTGGGGGCCTTCTGGACACAGGTGGGCCAGGTGGGGTTCAGGGAGAAGCCTCAGGCTCAGGCTGGTGGGATGGCGGCAGGGGAGGGAGCTCTGATGAGGAGGGGCGTTGACTGTCATGCCTCAGAGCATGCAGGTCACCTGGACAGCGGGGCCTCTCTTACCTGGCCGGGTTCTGCCCTGGGGGTGCTTGCCAAGGCTGGAGATGCCTCTAGTTGTCACATTGGGAGAGACACATCACTGGCATAGAGTGGGTGGAGGCTGGGGTGCTGCTCAGTGCCCCGAAAAGAGAATGACCTGGTCCCTGGCCCTCATGAGGACTACCCGATCCCTATGAGGATGACCTGGCCCCAGGAGGATGACTTGCCCCCATGGCATCTGTGGCCAGGCCAAGCAGCCTGCTGGGAGGCAGGAGGGACTGGGTTCAGATTTTATCAGGCTCATAACACAACGCAAAGCATCCAGGTGGTGGCGGCCCCGAGGTCCCCGCACACATCTTGCTCACTTCTTTCCTGCTGTCACGAGCGCTCCCTTTCACACTTACACACAACCAGGGCTGGGCGTGGGTTCCATATTCCCGTGTGACGCAGCGAGGTGTCTTTTGGCGGCATGGATGGATGGCCATGTACGCATCGCTGGAGGGCTTGGGAAGGGTGGGGTGGGGGCCAGCCAGATGGGTGTTTGTTGAAGAAGGATCAGTGTGTGCTGGTGGAGGGGCGGGTGCAGGGAGGCGGCACCGTGGCCTGTGTCCAGGTGTGCGAGAGGCAGGTACTCCAGGTACTCCCTGCCAGGCGTTGTGTTCCAGAGGGAGGAGACTTGGCTTCAGGTCTTCTGCCTTCCCCCACCCCAGTGTCCCCTGGCTGCTCGGGGCTGCAGGGGTCAGGGGGTGCCTCGGAGGTGGCCCAGGAAGCTCCAGCAGGCGCAGGGCCGGGTGAGCTTGGAGGCTGGAACCTGCTTTGGAAGTGACCCCAAGCCAGTGTTGGCATTTGCCCCTTGGAACCGTAGTTCTCAGCTGGGCAGTTTTGTCCCCCCGTGACCTCTCCCAGCCGAGTGTGCCACTCTGTATGTGCAGGGGACCCAGGCGAAGGCCATCTCGGGTCACCCGAACCCCTGCCAGGCCCTCGCCTGCAGACACATTTGCTGGGATCCCACACGCCCAGCACTTGCTGGTGCCATAAAAGATGAAACAGGAGGCCCAGCCCGTCCCCAGCCCCTGCAGCGCCCCCAGGCCCCGGCCGTTCCGCCACAGCACACCTGTTCCGCAGGCTGAAAGGGTCTTTGTGAGGCCACCCCGCCTCGTTATGAGAGTGCCGCAGACCAGGCACGTGGCAGCCTTTCTGAAACCGGCCGGACTGTCTCCATCTGAAGCACTCAGCTCTGCCATAGCTTGAAAGCTGCCTTAGACCTTAGGGGAAGAAATGGGCACAGCTGTGTGCCAATAAAACTTTATTATACCACACGGAACGTGCGGTGCGTGGAGTCTGCCTGTGTCACAGATTGTCTTCATCTTTGTCCCCTGGAGGTTTTTTGTTTGTGCTTTTGAGATGGAGTCTCACTCGGTCACCCAGGCTGGAGTGCAGCGGCCCCATCTCAGCTCACTGCAACCTCCGCCTCCCGTGCTCCAGAAGTTCTCGTGCCTCAGTGTCCCCAGTAGCTGGGATCACAGATTTGGGCCACCACACCCAGCTAATTTCTGTATTTGTAGCAGAGGTGGGGTTTCGCTATGTTGGTCAGGCTGGTCTGAAACTCCCGACCTCAGGCGGTCTACCAGCCTCGGCCTCCCAAAGTGCTGAGACTACGGGCGTGAGCCGGGTGTGAGCCACCTCGCCTGGCCACCCCTAGCCATTTAAAATATAAAAACTGTGGGCTTTCAGCCTGGACAGGCTCGTAGTCTGCTTGTAGCTCACCCGGGGCTGGAGTTTGCACCCTGGCTGTGGATCACTGCTTTATTAAAACCAAGCAGTGTTATTCACCAGCATCCATCCGTCTTTTTTTTTTTTTTTCCTCGGAGACAGCGTCCGCCTCTGTCACCCAGGCTGGAGTGCAGTGGCATAATCACA